ACTGTACAACTAAAATTCCCCAATTAACCAAACCCCCAATTGAGAATGGTCGAGTATTTAAGCCCCTGGAGCAGGGCTGGTATTATTCAGCAGGAAATACCCGTATCACTTACGTGTGAAAATTCCCATTCAAATCCTCAATAACGCGATCAGTGCCAAATGGAAAAAACTCCATTTCGAAATCACAATTAAAAGCGAATCAACAAAGCAAACAGCTTCGTAATGAAAACTTCAATTCACCTTAAAGGACCCGCTATTAGCTTTCGACCAACGTGCCTAACGAAAACTTAAACGAAAATGGAAGTTTTCTATTCAGCCAAATTGCGTGATTTATAATTTTAATAAGAACGCTTCTCGAGCATGGATGCCCTTGCTTTAAAACCTTGCAACCTACCCCTAAACGTGCTCTGCTAATACGAAAAGTTTAGAAACATCATCGTCTTCGATCTCTTGTGGAATATTTAAATTCGTTTTGTTATTATTATTTATTTTAGCTGAAACGGGGTTTGTCCTTTCGGTATGCGCAATTCAAATAGGCATTACCGCTTTAGAAAATCCTCTATTTGCAGAAGATACGATTACAATACCCCTTATAATCTTTGCATTTACCAAGAGACGTATACAAATGAAGAATCGTTGAAGACTGGACATTGACGAGTGACATTTAAACTGCACAGAAAGTTACAAACGGTACATGCAACCTTTTTCTTTGGTTAGTGACTTTTGATTTATCTCCAATTAGTTTTATTACCCGTTTTAGAAGCGATGGCACGAAAAATTTCGCTCTTCGGTTTAGTACGTAGGAATCCTATATACTTAATCTCCAATCGAGAAATTGAAATGCAAGTATTTCAAAGGGGGGCGTAAAATAAATTGCCCTGTCTATTAGTGACAAAACTTAAAAAAGAGCGAACACGTTTCCTGCCTATATTTGCAAAATGCCTCCATAAATTCCGAGGTATTATGTAAATAAACGAGTTTAAAATTATTATCAGTGCGAATAGTGTGATTTTCATCACATATTTGTTAACCCTTCCTGCTACACATTGAAGTACCTAATTAAATTATAAAGGTATTTATCGTTGTAGAGGTTGTAGTTTTCCAGTTGCGGTGTTGTGAAAATACGCGATTGGTAAAGTTCGTAGAAGGCGAATGTAGGAAATGCGGCGCATTTTAAACCACCTAAACATAAACAATGACCATTTAAAATAAAGATTTCGCTACGTTCGCGAGATTTTCTCTTTTCAACACGTTTAATGAAGCCGACAAAAGCGTACTGGAGAGAAAAATTTGATAAAAAGAGCTTAGTTGTAGCGCTCTAGGCGCCAGAGTTGCAAAGGTAATTACTGAGGAGGATTCGATTTATCTCCAGATTATTCGCTTACATACATTTTAGGTTAACAGTAAAGCGTTTCTACGTTCCATCGCTTACAAAGACGTACTTAGATCAGCAATAGCCGACTCGTTTGTTACCGAGTAACAAGTCAGAGGGATTTTTTACAAACGGAAAACAAAGGTCATATTTCTGTCAAATGTGAGAGGTTCAAAGAACTTTCGTTCTACCCGGTGCAGATAATGCAACTACCACTTAGTCCATAGAAGAAAGATGCTGAAGTAAAAAGAGGTTGCGATGCGTTTTAAAACAGCTTCTCGATTTATTTGGGATGACAAAAAGACGCCGCGCGCGTATCTCCAACTGGTTACAAACGAACTGAAAAACTGAACAGCCTTTGAAAGGACGCACGGGGACATTTTTTAAAAACTGGTCTGAATAAAATGAATGGGTTGCTTGACTGTCTGCTTTTTGGGTAACTTTGCCAAAATCGTGTACTGAAATACAATTTCGATCGTTTCATTCAGAGACTGTCCGACAAGCATTTGTTCAGAAAAAGAAGTTCGTCAAGGACGTATAATTTGTTGAGTCTCAAAAAGATAAATTTCATCACTCAATTTGCAATTAGAGAATTGGTTTTGCGACCTTAGCTAACGAGCTACTGTTTTCATCAACTACTGCTTTCCTTTTGTCTCCAACAATATTTCCCATTTTATATGGTGGTTTATCATATGCCCTTTTTAATTTTTACACCTCCCTTTGCATTTTAATCTCATTTTAGATCCTATCCCAATTGTTATTGGATTTTAGATAGGTACCCATATACATTAGATACCATACCTTACAAAAAAATGCAAAGTTTCTGAAATTTGTTGTTCGGTGTAACGGATGTTACAAATTTTACTTCTTCTCCTCCTTTTTCTGATTAATTAAATTGGGGGTGGTTCGTATTATACAATTATATTGATATGCCTGGGCTGCTCGTCGGTTAATAATCCTTGGATTGGTTCTTATTTTTTTTAAATGCCGCTCTTGCTGTAAGGGAACACGTATTAGTAATTCTATCCACACGTGCATACACCGCTTCCGGCATCCGCATCCTGTATATGACCCACTCTTCTCAAAACATCTTCCTTCGTTCCTCTTTTTGCCCACATTACTTGCTACATCCATAGCCGCATTTCAAAGCTTTCTAAGTACATTTCTTCTTGCTTATGCATACTACACGTTTCTGATCCCTAGCTGACAACACTCCAAAGGAGAAAACACTTTTTCTTATTAATTTTGGTGCCTAGAATCCAAAACGATTCGTACTTTTTCGATTAGCCCTCTCAATAAAAAGTTATGAACAAAAAAACAATTTCGAAAAAAAATTCAAAGAGCTGTAACTTTTGATTTAGTAGCCCAATCTTCAAACTTTTTGAAACTATGGATTCTACAGGCCACATTCTATAAGAAAACTTTTTTTTTCTGTGTCGATCTGAGACAACTTTTTTTTCGGGGTTCAAAAAAAGGCAGTGTATAACCTTCCTTTTTCACCAAAAATGGACTGCACCAAAGTTTCTCGGGAAAACACTTTTTCTTATTAATTTTGGTGCTTAGAATCCAAAACAATTTTTACTTTTTCGATCAGACTTCTCAATCAAAAGTTATAGACAAGAAACAAATTTCGAAAGAAAATTCCAAGGGTTGTAACTTTTGAACTAGTAGCCCAATCTTCAAACTGTTTGAAACTATGGATTCTACAGGCCACATTCTATAAGAAAATTTTTTTTCTGGGTCGATCTGAGACAATTTTTTTTTCGGGGTTCAAAAAAAGGCAGTGTATAACCTTCCTTTTTCACCAAAAATGGACTGCACCAAAGTTTCTCGGGAAAACACTTTTTCTTATTAATTTTGGTGCGTAGAATCCAAAACAATTCGTACTTTTTCGATTAGCCCTCTCAATAAAAAGTTATGGACAAAAAACCAATTTCGAAAAAAAATTCAAAGAGTTGTAACTTTTGATTTAGTAGCCCAATCTTCAAACTGTTTGAAATTATGGATTCTACAGGCCAAATTCTATAAGAAAATGTTTTTTCTCGGTCGATCTCAGACAATTTTTTTCGGCCTCAAAAAAAAAGTACTTTTAAGTTATTCAAATATTTGATTTAATAACCTTCCTTTTTCACCAAAAATGGACTGCAACAAAATTTCTCGGGAAAACACTTTTTCTTATTAATTTTGGTGCTTAGAATCCAAAACAATTTTTACTTTTTCGATCAGACTTCTCAATCAAAAGTTATAGACAAGAAACAAATTTCGAAAGAAAATTCCAAGGGTTGTAACTTTTGAACTAGTAGCCCAATCTTCAAACTGTTTGAAACTATGGATTCTACAGGCCACATTCTATAAGAAAATTTTTTTTCTGGGTCGATCTGAGACAATTTTTTTTTCGGGGTTCAAAAAAAGGCAGTGTATAACCTTCCTTTTTCACCAAAAATGGACTGCACCAAAGTTTCTCGGGAAAACACTTTTTCTTATTAATTTTGGTGCGTAGAATCCAAAACAATTCGTACTTTTTCGATTAGCCCTCTCAATAAAAAGTTATGGACAAAAAATCAATTTCGAAAAAAAATTCAAAGAGTTGTAACTTTTGATTTAGTAGCCCAATCTTCAAACTGTTTGAAATTATGGATTCTACAGGCCAAATTCTATAAGAAAATGTTTTTTCTCGGTCGATCTCAGACAATTTTTTTCGGCCTAAAAAAAAAGTACTTTTAAGTTATTCAAATATTTGAGAACAATTTAGAAATGTTTAGGGAAAGTTTCCATTGTCACAAAATCAAATATAAAAATCCGATACAACTGAATACCGAACGATCCTGGAGTGAAACTTTTTACTCGATAGTCTACGTAACTTAAAAACAATAGGGATCTTTCTTATATCCTTACGACCATTGTGTACCAATTTTCAAAGCGATCGCACGTTTCTAATAAAACTATCATGCACACGAACGAACGGATGGTAAAAAATGGATCTGTTCCAAAATCGCTTGGATTAATTTCAGAAAGGCGTACGTATCATGTGCACGACGCTTTGAAAACTGGTACACGTATTCTTAAGGATATAACTGGTATAAGAAAGGTCCTGGCAGATAATAATATAATAATAATATTACGCTTTTACTCCCCTTAAATTTGTATATAACAATAGAAATATAAAAAAAGCTAACCCCATACAAAGTATAACTTGATTTTTTAAGTAGTATTAAGACTTTTATCTAGTATACTATTTTAAATTTTTAATGTATTTGGGTGACAAGAATTTGAATACTTTTTACTGTATACGAATACTTCTCAAAGTAAGTTAATGAAATACTTTTCAAAGCATTCGAATACTTTTTATAGTATTCGAATACCTTTGATAGTATTAGAATACTTTTCAATGTATCTGTATACTTTGTTTCACTGGTGCTGAACCTGACGTCATAAATGTGATTCTCTCTTCATTACATTTAAATCGATTGAGACAAAAAAATTACGTCATTAACGTAAGTCGTGACAAATAAACCAATTATTGATCTGTCAATAATATCAATCCGTCAAACGATTTTCGTTATAGACAGATTTCCAGTGTTAAATGCCTTTTGATTAGGTAGTTTGTGTTAAAAGTGAAGTAAATATCATCAAAGTTGAAAACGCTTAGGCAAGTCCACAGTGCAGCAACGCCGTTAACAGACAAGTAAAATTTTACATAAACGTTCGATTCGCTCATATCATGAATTTAGGTCATTACCGTTACAATTAGGTAAATATGACGAACCGATACACAGAAGGTGAGCAAAGTTTGATTTTGAAGTTGATTCAGTACTTCCAAGGGGAAAAAGAAGCAGGCAAAACTTTAACACCCGTAAGCGCAGTATATGATGTAAGTGTTTCCTATGCGTTTGCTATAATCATATGCTTACTTAATCACAGAGGGTTTGTGCTGCCCTGGGTGTATCGTTGTGGACTGTAAAAAGAATTAGTACAAGAGGTGTTAAAAAAGATGACGATTAGGTACAAATCGCAAAAAAGTGTGGCTATTAGTTTATCTCACGGACCTCCGCTGCATGAAATACATGAACATGTAATAAGGACACGGATTTATGCAATGTATGCGACAGGTAAATAACATTCTTTTTGTTCTAAGGGAAGATTTGCTTCAAATGAAGACGTTCGCGAGAACACTTATGGATTTGATTTTATAGGTTCTTTACACAGTAATCTTCAACGACTTGATGGCGTAGAAATATCTGCTACCTCTTTATCCCGCAGTTTGAAGAAACTGAAATTCACGTGGCGGAGATGCACCGTTTCTAATAGATTATTTTTAATGGAACAGCTCTATGTAGCTCAAAGAAGACTACAATTTTTGAGAGACTTTAAACACAACGAAACTTCACTCTTTCCATTACGACCTGTGGTTTTAGATGAAATCTGGATATACAGTAAAGGGTCTTTTAGAAGAAGCTGGCAAGATGGTACTCTCAAAACAGTTAGAAAAAAAAGTGGTGAAGGGGTCAGGTATATAATACTCCATGCAGGATCAGAAGATGGATTTGTACCAAACGCAAGTCTAATTTTTAAATCTGGTAGCAAGTCCGGAGACTATCATGACTCCATGAATTGCCTTAACTTTGAGATGTGGTTTGAACAACAATTGATCCCGAACTTGGATGAACCTTCTCTTATAATTATGGACAACGCTTCTTACCATTCAGGATTGGTAGAAAAAAGTCCAAATCAATGCTGGACAAAAATGTCACTTATAAAGTGGCTAACATCACGAGACATTACATTAGCACCAACAATGATGCAAGATCAGATCTGGGAAGTAGTGAAAAATCATATACCACCAAAATTATTTAGGTAGGCATCGCTGATAATTAAATGTTTGGTTGCAGTTAGGTAGACCTTTGGATAGGAAGCTGATTGTTATGGTTTTTTTTCACTCCATGTTGATTTTTACAGATTGAACGAATTAGCATTACAACATTATGGTCATCGTGTTTTGAGACTTCCTCCATATCACTGCGAGTATAATCCAATCGAAATGGTATGGTCAGAATGCAAACGGCATTACGATGCAAGGATCGGTTCAATTCAGCCTGTCACACACAGTGCCGTTTTGTCTTTATGGAATGAGGCACTGCACAAAGTAACCTCTTTATATGCTGTTTTGTGAAACAGTAGTACTTAATAACTTTATTGTTTAGGTTACACCGGAAAAATGGAAAAGATATTTTGATCATACAAGAGGCATTATAAACCAGGCCTGGGAACGGGAACAACATATTGATACATTAGACATCTTACCGGTGATTGTCAACTTGGACGAATCTGATAGTGACGAAGATTATTATGATGATTATATTCATGAGGCAGAAGAGAATCAGCGTGTTTAAGAATATTATTTTGGGCCGTTTATACATATATACCTACTTGTGGTGTAGTGTCGTTTTTTTCTTTTGTACATACGATTTGAATATGAACATTTGAGAGTTTTTTCAGGAATAAATATCTTCACTACCTGTTTTCTCTCACAGTTGCGTTTTTTTTAATAAATCGGAACAGTAGATACCTATTCAAGATCCTTATGCGAATATCTCGAGTGTGTGGCAAAAGAACAGTAGTATGCGTTGTTATTTCAATGAGCCTGTACGTGGTATAATGCCTACGCTTTATCTCAAATTTGTAAGATATATAAATGCGAAAGGCTTACCGATAAACCATGGCCTATTCTACTTCTGCAAATGGTTAGTTAAGGGTCATTAAAATTCGCGCAACTTAACGCGTATTCTTCACGGGTAGCATGCTTAATTTCACATCAACATTAGTTAAACGAAATATTAATTTACGAACTGCCTAAACAAACTTTAAGTTACAAATGTTCCTATGCGTTTTCTGTAACCATCATACACTTCATCTCAAAGAGTTTCTGATGCTCTGGCAGTATCCATTTCGACTGTCGTCGGTGCAAAGAATCGGTTACATGAGGTGATTACAAACGGTGGAAAAAGTTTAATCTCGAGTTTAATTCATATCAACGGAGTTCCTCTACATAAAATACATGACCATTTAGCCATTATAAAACCTGGGGAAAAAGGAAAAAACCTATCAGGACCAGATGCCTTACAAGTGATTGTCAACTTGGACGATCTGATAATAATGAACGATAGTGACACCTTAATAAATAAGTTGAAACGTCAATGTGACAATATGTAAACCAACTACTAATTTACGACCTGCCTTAATTTTGATATGACGTCAGATAGTGTGACGAAAGGTTCAGCACCCTTGAAACGAAGTATAAGAAGTTTTCCCGTGTTGTCCAATTACGGAAAATGTGTTATAGAGCTGAAAAAGCAAGCAGTACTTGTAGTACATCGAAGCGTTTTCTTAAGGTTCTCTTCTTATTAGAAGTTAAAAGTTTCTACCGTCCGAACAGCCACCGAGAATTTGCCATTTTATTCATCAAACTGTTCGTCATCTACCTAATTCTGTGTTATCAAGCAAAGTGAAGTTCAGAAGCTGTCAGCGTTTGTGTGTAAGTTAAGTGCGTCGTACAAACCTTGTACGTCGTACAAACTTTGTACGAACAGATTATTTGAATTAACAAAAAAACCTAATTTAAATTTTTTTTAATTTTAATGTCGTCGACCTGCGGAGTAAACTTCTCTTTCTTTGAGGAATTTTGTTCTAATTCTTTCATGTGTTTCGGAATAAATTATTTTCATTCAATTTTGATTTGTTTTGAGCTAGCTGGACAAGTGTTTTATAGGTGGCGTAGTGATCTCGCGCTATTGCACACAGTAATATTTTTATTTAGTACAATAAACACAAATTTACAGCGAGTAGCCAACAATTTGGGTATATCCGAGAGGACGGTGCGAAACATCGAGTCGAGGGTGGCATCTAACCCTGTTTAACAAGCGAGGGTAAGAAATGACTATGCAAGAAAACCAAATCTGCCGATTTACCCGAAACGTGTAAAATAGGTAATAGAATCGCGTTATACAACAAATTTGCACAAAGTGAGTAAGTACATCCCTATCGTATATCTCTTTTGCATGTCCGACATACATTTTATTACAAATAAATTAAACAAATATAGCACACGAGTTCCTGGGTATGGCTATAGCATGTGCAAAACCAAATTTTAAACCTGATGTTAGTTTTGCTTTTATTTAAAGTGTATATGTATGAAATTTTGTTTAATTGCTTCCATAAATAAGAAAGTTGGCACTGCACGTCCTACACAAAACCAAATTTGGAAAATAGCGCTACATTTGCATTTATTCCAAGTGGCTATGTATCAAATTTCATTTGAATGCCTCCATAAATAAGAAAGTTTGCAATTTGCTCATATTGAATTTCATGCAATTCGGTTCATAGCTAACGGAGATGTCAAAAGGGTCTACTTTATTTTTTGGACTACATTGCCAATTCACGAACTCTGATCTACAAATTTGATGAAGAATCCACCTGCAAAATTTCATCGTAATCGGTTCACTCGTTTATGAGTTATCGTGCTAACGGACGGACGGACGGACGGACAGACACCGCAAAATTATAAACTCGCGAGGAGCTCGTTAATAAACATGTCACAGTTGCATAGCATAGACCCCATCGTGCAATAGTCTCACTTGACAAGAACATCTACCACCTACAACAATTGTATTTGCAATACATGTTGGTTTATTTTTTACACAATTTCTTTAAACAGTGATATAGAAACTGCTAATTCCTGCATTTTTGGTTGAATTTACGTTGTACATTAGATGTCATCTTCCTAGTTCCAATTCACTTTTGAGCATAATTAATATCCATTTTGTGCATTAATTTCGAATTTATCCTTATTCTGGGCCATCATTAGTATTAAATTAGTAACAGTGAGTATTATTGTATTCTGTTCTAAACTTCATTTTATTTCGTGCGTCGCATCCCATAAGAATCACAGATGTCATTGGAATGCACAATAATTTGTTTCACTTTATCTTTTGTCTACGCTTATGGTTAACAAGAGACGAAAAATCGCAAACGATTTTCAGCAGGGGAATTTTTTGCCACTCAGCTCGCAATCGGAAACTAGACTCTTAATCCAGCCAGTGGCGTAGCGAGGGGGGGGCGGTCCGCCCCGGGCTCGAAAGCTGAGGGGGCCCAATCCGCCCCTACTATGTAAGTAGTAAATGTATAATAGGTAATAAAAAATAAAAAAAAATGAATTGAATTTCATGATTCAAGCCTATACCTAGGTAAGTATGGTTTTGGCAAGTTTTCGTGAACGGTGAACGTCTGATACGGTCAATACCCCTACACACTACAACAACAGCGCTAGCGCTACTGTTATTGCCTTGCCTGTAGTCGTAGAATTGTCAAGAACTGCGAAGAACCTGCTCCCCGCTCCTCACAGCAACCGATTCAATTCACATTCTCTCTGTGTCAGTGAGTCTGCAATTAGCATCACTTAAAAGACGAAAACAATTTAAGATTTGAGAATTTGGTTTAAAAAAATACATAATTACATTTTGTTTGTCGTTTATTTTTGTTCTTTTCTGTGATACCATGACCAATCGACACCGCGAAAGAAAAATTGAGATGGGGGGGGGGGGGCCAAGTGACTTCGGTCCGCCCCTCCTATTATTTTGAAACGCTACGCCACTGAATCCAGCTCATAGTTAAGAGCACTGATTCTTGAACTCGTAGAAATCGATTGGCAAAGGTTTGATATCGCTGTCTTTTTGCGTTTTCGAGTTAGACGAGAAACAGACGGACAAACCCATCACATATACCTAACGGGAATTTTTCTCTTTTGAAAGATTCCCCTAAAAAGACCCTTAGCCTACTCATTCAAACCAATGAAATGTCAATTAACATCTGCTATAAAATAAATAAATAAAGTTGCTCGCCCTGCATAACATAAAACTTGTGTCTAAAGTGGTCGTTTATAAAACTTAATGCGTAATATACCATTATAACAAAACTATAAACGGTCATTTTGTCTCCCACGAGCGACGCATATGAGCGACGCTGTGGCTGTGGTATCGAGACAACCTAATTTGTATGTGTGTGTCACATCACCACTTATGAAACTTTTACGGACTATTAGTTGAGGATGACAAACATAAAATTTTCCTCAGGATATGATGAGTATTA